GTAAGTGTTCTTTCCACAGTCTTCATTGTCTTCATTACTGGTGTTTAAATAGTTGGTTTCTCCAAAAGATTATAATTTGCAACTGTTATCTATTTATTTGTAGGTCAAAAGAACAAATTTTGCCGAGGGGAAGATCTGATTCTAGAAGTAAGGAATTTGCAGATTGATTTTTGAAATAGGCCCAAAATTGAAATCTTGTTGGAAATTTTTTATTTTTTTATTTTTTGTAAGAGCATTTAAATATCCAATGTGCTTATTGGTGAATTTTAGATTTTATTTTATTATTATTATTTTTTTTAGGATTGGGTTGAATTTTATAATTTAAATATGCTTTTATGAACATGTACAGTTTAATTGTTCTTTGTAAAATATTGAATTTGATGGTTTGATCAATTTAAATTTTTATTTTTATTTTCTGTGATGATATTTTTGTGAATAGAATGTAAATAATCAGCTCTTAGAGAGAGACGGGACCACCGTCGGAAAAAATAGAAAATTTTAATATTTTTATTAATTTTGTTACAGGTTTTACTTTTTGCGACAACATTATACTGTCGCAAAAAATAGAAATTTTATTATTTAAAATAGAAATTTTATTATTTTTTAATATTTTTTGTGACGGCATTACACTGTTGCAAAAAATAGAAAATTTTATATTTTTTATACTTTTTGCAACGGCACCACACCGTCGCAAAAAACAGTGTTTTTGTCAAAAAAAAAAAAAAGACTATTAGTGACGGTATTTTTTGCCGTCTCAAATAATATTTTTAGCGACGGTAAAATAGGGCCGTCCCAAAAAAGTCAAGAAATTTCAAACGTTATTAGCGACTGCACGGTGCCGTCGCAAAAACTCTTTTGCAACCCCTTCATTTGCGACCCCCTCTTTGCCGTCGCAAAAAATTTTTTTGCCGTCGCAAAAAGTTTTTGCGACAGTATTAGGAGTATTAGCGACGGTATTTTACCATCCTAAAAGTCAATTTTTTTGTAGTGAAGAGGCGAATTTTGTTACTAATGGGTTGGCCAAGCAAGCTCTTTCCTCACTGTTAAGCTCGCTTGTTTTGTATCCACATAGCTATTTTGTACTACCTATGGTACTTTTGACAAACATGGGATGGCTACCCACATAGTGTAGCCAACACCTCTTTATAAATAAATAATACTCGCCTTTTGGATATGTATATATATATCTATATATATAAATGTTGGATAACATAATATAAATTTTGCATTATTGAAAACAAGAAGATAAACCTAGAGAAATAGAGAAACACAATAACCGGGTAGACATAATTTGATTTAAAACCATGCCTTTCAAATTGAAAGGTTGAAATGCCTTATAATTTATCTTATGTGTTTCTGTTGTTTTGATGTATTTTATTTTTTTTCAAAGGTAAGTCTTATTTTTAAACCTTATACTTTGACTCAAAAATAAATAAATAATTTTGGTAAAACCATTTGTAGTTTCTCCATTAGAATTTCTTGTTAAAAAATAACATGAATCTCAGTTATGAGTACTTCAATAATTAGTACTCCCTCCGTCCCATAATATTAGTCCCTTATTCCATTTTTCATTGTCCCAAAATATTAGTCCCTCTTCAAAAATCAAGTACAAAAATAATATAAATTTTCCATTTTGCCCTTCTTTTAAATTCATAAATAATATAAAAAGTACAATTATGACATTGATATTCTCAAAAAAGTGTACTATCAATGGGTAATTTTGAAAAACTAACTTTTTAAAAGTACAATAATTGTACTACCAAAAAAAGTTGAATTCTCCAAAAGGGACCATTATTTTGAGACGGAGGGAGTATTATATATTATGCAAACGCTTGATAATTGGTTAGAATATTCTTCAATCTGCTAATCCGTCCAAAACCGTTCAAATAGCAATTTTTTAATCCGTCAATTCGCTAATCTGCCATTCGATTTATAATTTTACTATCAAGCTATTCGAACTGCACCGCACATACCCCTAATATAAGGTATGTTCGGCCACTCTGTCGCCGGAGATCTGGGGTGGTTTGGTTGTTACTTGGGAGTTTTTGTCTGCTTTGTTATGATCCTAGAAAGAGAAGTTTGGGGGAGCTTATTATAGCTGGGTCACCTCATGCTTTCCAAGTGGTTACTCATGTTTGAAGTGTAGTTTCAACTCACACTCTGTTAGGTGAAGTGGACTGTTTGGTGGATGAGAAAAAAGGGTGCTCTATGGCAGAACCAATAAAATAATTTACTTAGAGATAGTGATTTTGGTTAGTCGTCCAGGTAAACATTGTTGCATCCCAAGTTTATGCTTTTGTCACTCGTTGTCTATGAAGCACAGGTGCAGGTACGGATACTAGTACGAGTACGTTAATATGGTAAGACCTAAAAAAAAATAGATACGGGTACGGTTAAGGTACGTCAATAAATTTTTTATTTTTTATAATTTATAATTTGAGATTCAATCTACAAATCAAAGTGCAATACCAAAATTAAAAAGAGAAATTACAAAACAAAAGAGAAATTATAGTTTAACAATACTAATACCAAAGCAAAGTCTATAAGCTATTTTAATGCCATTAAATAGGAGAAATTATAAAATAAAATTTCATTCCAGAAGCAAGCTAAGCAAAATTTAAAAACTTGAAACTTTAGTTTTCACTCCCATCAACTTTATCATTGAATAATATATTTTTCATCTCTGGCACATCAAATAAAGGATTTGCAATTTCAATCAAATAAAAACTCTCTAATAAATTAAACATTTCCCCACCAATATCCCATAGCTTGATGCACCCATGAAATATCCATGGAGTACTCAATTGACAAAGAATGTATAAAAAGTATTCGGTACGTATTTCGAGTACGCGGTACGCATGTAGTCCTATCGGTACGAGTACCAATATCCGGTAAGTACTTGATACAAGTACGGTAACATTTTCGGAGCACCTATAATTCATAGATCCTTGTTAAAGGTGCAAATCAAATTTATGTAGCACCTTGTTGTCACATGGGATTTGAATTTTTATATAAAACCACCATGTGTTGCTGTACTTGACTTATGCATTTAATTTTCAATAATCCTACAATAATCATATTATGTACCATAAATTATTTGTCATCTTATATATGGGTTTAGATTCTCTCAAGTTGGCTATCCCAGCTTGAGCGTGTTTGAATTTGATGGGCCCATTTTGGGGCTAACCTATGTGATTTGAACCATTTATTTTTTATGACTCGTTGAGTAGAATGTTCAAGTAAAAAATCAAGATGATCGGACATTGATAGTTATATGTTTGAATTACATCTGTATTACAAAAAAAAAAAGAATAGTTATTCTTGAAATTATAATTATCGTCTATTTTTTTTAGATAGTGATTTTTAGTGAGTTAAGCTTGATCTCTAATCTTACTTGAGAGGTCCCTCTACTTATTGCCAATTGATTATTGAAGAAAAACACAGAACAAGTATTTGTTATTATTATTATTCAACTCAATTTCAATCATATACAAATATTCAGTAGCCCCCTCTATATATACAAGAAGAAGATAACTAACTCTTAGCTAACAAACCATCTAACAAACTATCTAACTAACTGAAACAAATGTTCAGATATAGCTGCAGCACAGGAATGATACAATGAGACCTCAGTTAGCTTGATCTGTTTGAACTAGAAACTTCTGCAGAGTTAGTATCCTCAACAATTATATTTGAGTTGAATGTAGATTAAATTTTGTGACATATTTTGAGTTTGATTCTTATTTCGGCCAAGGTGCATGCTACTTTTAGTGATATGAGGAATACACTGTTTTACTTGCATTTGCATGTTTAAAGTTGTTTTCATTATTTTGATATGTATTATTATGGGGAGTTTTAGGGATGATAGGTTGGGTGCCTCATGTTGTTTAGGTTTGGTGGGTAGTTGTTATCCTGCCAACTATTCACATGTTCCTCTAATATTTTATTTGTATTAATAATATGTATTTTAACATATCTTCTTGAAATTCACTTTGCACCCTGCAGAAACAAGACAATCATCAATTGATGTGACTTGCCAGTAAATCTCAACCACACAATGTAGCACTCTAGGAAACTTTAGAAAAATTTCACTCTAGAGGATCCTTGCTCCAAGACAATCGGTTGATTGGTGACATGATTATGTGGTGCGTGTGAAGCAAGCTCCTAATAGAGAGAAGAGTTAAAATAGTGAGTTGTGAAAATAGGCCTTGGTTATTGGAGGTGAAACAAGACTCCATCCCGACATAAGTTAGAGACTTTTGTGTTCAGAACCATCTGAGAACTAGCTCAAGATGGACAAGCTTCCAATAGAGATCATCATCAACATTCTCTCAAGACTACCCATCAAGCCCTTGGTACGTTGCAGGTGCGTATGCAAATTCTGGCTCAACTTAACCCATGATTCTCAACTCATCACCATGCACCTCCACCAATCATTCGAAAACGAAGACAGCCTCAGTCTCATCTTCTTACAGAACATCCTTGTCGCCCCCAACCATTTCCAAACTCGATTATCTTTCATAGACAACAACAACAACAACAATGGAGATCACTACACGTTTGTTGACCTAAACGTGTCATTGCCTCATTTCGACAGCTTCGAAATCTTAGGTTCTTGCAATGGTATACTTTGTTTGTTCGATCCACTGGCCAATATCCCAAGATACATTTTCAATCCTCTCAGTCGAGAGTATGCAACTTTACCTAATCCCATAAGGCCATCATCATCTCCTCCTCCTTGCCACGTTGCGATTGGATTCGGATATCTTCTAGAAAGCAACGTATACAAGGTAATACAGTTAGTTTACTACAGTAGTGAAATCTTCAATGGTGATTCAAGGCCAGAGGCTCATGTGCTCACTCTCGGTGACTGTTCATGGAGGAATATTGGAAAGGCTCCGTTCTCTCTCATCCGTGGGTTGAAAACTTCGCAAGCATTTGTCAATGGTGCTCTTCACTGGTTAAGTGGTATGCCTGGCTTTGATTGTATTGTTTCATTTGATGTGGGTGAAGAACAGTTTGGAGTGGTTCCACATCCTGAGTTTGAGTCAGGTCAACTTAACTACAGATTGGGAGTGTTGAGAGGGTGTCTCTCAGCTGCAAACTACAATTATGGAGAGTATGCTGAGATGTGGGTGATGAATGAGTATGGTGTGAAGTCATCTTGGACCAAGTGTTTCAAAGTGAATTGTAGTGAGGTTGGGTTTAATATAGGGTATGTTTGGCCGCTCGGTTGCTGGAGGTCTGGGGAGGTTAGGTTGTTGCATGGGAATTCTAGTCTGCTTTGTTATGATCCCAGAACCAAAAGTTTGAGGAAGATTAGTATAGCTGGGTTACCTCATGCCTTCTTCCAAGTGGTTAAACATGTTGGAAGTCTGGTTTCACCTCAGAGTCTTTTTGGCGAAGGGTTGCACTTTGGACTGTTTGTTGGAGGAGATGCAGGAGTACACCAACTTGAATTTTGAAGCTGTGGCAGAAGAACCAACAAAATAATTTACTCCACGAGATGAAACAACAAAGCACAAGAAATGCTAAGGAGCATGAAAAGATTTTAAATAGTTTGTATGGCGTAAATTTAAAATTAGTGTGATGTTGACTCTATTTAGAATAACTGTGATCCATGAATGTATTTTTTTGAATATTTTTTTGAATGTATTTTTCTTGAATTTGTAATATTGTTTTAAAACTTATTAAAAAGAATTTGGAAACAAAGTGCCTAGAGAGCTATTTTGGTTAGTTGTTTATTATTTTCAATTGTTTTGTTAAACAACAATACTACTAATTCCAAAAAATTATTAAGAAAAGTACTCAGAATAATGTATTTATGAATCATAATCATGTTAAGTGAAATTTAGGTAGTGTTCGGTAGAGTTGTCTAAATATGATTTGAAAATAGGAGTTGTATTTTGAGTTTGTGAGTTTTAGAATTATGATTTGAGTGTGGAAAATTTGTTTGGTGAATGAGTTTTGAATTGAATGGAGAATTTTTGATGTGATATATGATATTTGATATAACAATTTACAACTCATAACTAAACACATAACTCAAAATTCTATTCAACATTCATAAATTTTTTTTAAAAATTATGATTTTTTTATTTATTTAAAATATAAAAAATAACATGTGCCAATTGTATAAAAAAAAAATAATAAAAAAATTGTACTGTTCCGGAGGACGATCGGTTAGCCCAAATTTTCCTGCCTTGGAAAGAGTTTTCAAAAGTGGATGTAGAATTAATTTTTGAAAACTGTAACCAAACATCACATGCAAATCAAGAGGTATCTCTGTTAGGAAGAGTTTTGGAAATGTAATTCTACCTCTTAATTTGCACCTGGTGTTTGGTTACAGTTTTCAAAAATTAATTCCACATCCACTTTTGAAAATTCTTTTCAATGCATGAAAATTTGGGCTAACCGGTCATCCTCCGGATGTCCGGAACAGTGCAATATTTTTTTTTTTTTACAATTTACACATGTTATTTTTTATATTTTAAATAAAAAAATTCATAATTTTTAAATTTTTTTTTGAGTTTTGAATAGAATTTTGAGTTGTGTGTTTGGTTATAAATAGTAAATTTTTGGGCAAATTACATATACACCCCTCGAGGTTTGGCTAAATTACAGATGCCCCCCTGAGGTTTGAGAAATTACGAATTCCCCCCTGAATGCTATATTTGCATAAGAAATTAGGGAGTAATTTGTTATGAAATATAAATCTCAGGGGGCAAATTGTTATGAAAATACAAACCTCAGGGGGCGGGATGTAATTTCTGAAACCTCAGGGGGGTATCTGTAATTTAGCCAAACACACAACTCAAAATTTACCGTGTTTTTTATTAAAAAAATAGATGACAATTGTGTTTTTTAAAAATCAATTATATATTTTTTTTGATGACAAAAACAATAAATTGGATAAGTTGCAGTTATTAGATCGACTTAATTTTTTGTGTGAATGAAATACACGAAGTGTCCGATAAAAGTGAACGAATCAGATCATCAAAACGGAACTCGTAGAGAGCCCATGGACCCAAACAATTCCCTCCAATTTAAATTTTAAACTGGAGGGAATCCTCCTCCAAAATTTGTAACTAGAATAATGTGACAATTTGTGTTTGTCATTTAATTAAGATCTTTGTCAATAAATTACAAGACAATCATCTGTGTGTACAAAAATTCTGTAATTTTTCTTTTGAAAAATTGTATTTCACTAGTACTACTCATATTCTTTCATTTATTAATAACGATACGTATCAACAAATATGTATTCTAATCTAAAAAGAACCAAAAAAAAAAAAGCCCTAAATCTTGAAGTGACATGTCAGTTTTTAATTTTGAAATCAAAGCAATGAAATCAGCATATTCTTAACAGAATTCTAGGCAAAAATAAAAGTTATGTAATTGCATTGCATGGGCTTGCATAAACTTCTAAAAATTTTGAAAAAAAAAATGTCATCTACATGGGTAAGTAGATTTTTTTTTAGATAGGATCAAAACAGAACCAAGAACCTCACAAACCAGAAAATCCTGTATTAAGAAGGACAAAATGAGACATCGAGAATGGAACCTCTTCCATCCAAATATACAGGCTAGCTTTGGAGATAGCCATCGTTGCAAATCGGTGAGCAACCTCATTTCCATTACGATGAACATGAGATAATTAGACGGTGTCAAAAGAACTAAGAGCTTGATAGATTTCCAAACCGCAGGCCTAGAGCTTGCCAACATACAATCTGCTTCCAAGAGGGCCTTGATCACAGTTTAAGAATCTCCCTCCAAATGAGTAGATTTAAAATTGGGTAAATTGCACTCTGCACTTTTATACTTTATACCAAATTTTACTTTAGTCCCTATATATAAAATCATGATAGTAAATTCCTTACATTTCTGGTCAAGTGTCGATATCCCTTTATGTTACTCCATTGTTTAACTCTTTAATGTGATAAAAATGTGATTACGAAATGAGGGTAAGAGAAGAAAAGTATCCCCATTTTTCACTAATACGCACTTTGTCTTATGTGATAAGTATGTGAACATTATATAACATAACATATATATATGTATAATGCAAAAAATAGGAACGAAGAGGTAAGAAAGTAGAATTTGACATAAAAATTGTAGTAAAGAAATCCAAGAGAGACGAAGAGAGACGAAAGATTGTGTTATTGTGAAAAATAAAGCTTCGTGACTTCAATTTATGCAAAATCCTAATTAATCTCCTTAATCATTCATAATTTGTATTTTCTTTTAGCCGAATACCGTCACAATTTAATATAAATTTTGAGAAAAATGAATATAGATGGGAAATGGAGGTGATTTTCTTCCTTTACCCTCATTTGTAGTGATATATAATTGGATTTTGTTAGACTTAAACAATGGAGTAACAAAAGAGAACATTGACACTTGACCAGAATTGTAGGAGGTTAACTATCACAATATCATGTGTAAAGACCAAAGTGAGAATTTGTGAAAAGTGAATGGGTGTAAATTGTAATTACCCATTTAAAATTGGTAGGATGAAAATCACATTTATAACGATTGTGTTTTGTAAACATATATAGAGCTTGCAGTTGGGGGAAATTCTATTTCTACACACCTACTTACATCTGTGTACACACTTAATGATTTTTTTTTATTATAGTTTTATCCTAAAATAAAATTACTGAAATGTCCTTATCTTCTCCACCAAAACTCTAATTTTTTAACCCTAACCTTAGGAGGCTCAGAAGGTTTTGTGCTTTGCTTAGCAGGTTTGTTCTCCAGCCCAGAATTTGCTTCAACTTCAGATTTTGAGCCACCATTTTCATCTCTTGATCTAGATATTTTCACTCGTTTACCATTTGTATTCTTCTGCCCAGAAAGAAAACAAAACCAATTCACAGTTGACACCCTTGATTTTGATAAAGTGTATTATAGTTGGACTGAAAAATTCCCAATTTTTTGACCAAAAAAAAATATGGGAAAATTGCATAATAAGTTATTCATGGATCAAAGGTTTAAAAAGCACAAAAAATAATTAGTAGATAGAAATTTGCATAAGACGTCTTAATTTCCATGAGCCAAGGAAGAACTAAATAAATTAACAAACATAAAAATAAAAGGATATATATGTATACTATGTGTTTGTATATATGTCTGTGTGAGGTTTTGACGTTAAAAGTTTGGATTTTTTTTTAGTCTAGAGAATGACTAGTGGAGGGTAGAGGGAATGGCGGAGGCAGCGACAGTGGTAGAAGGGGGTCGAAAAGGGGTAACTCAGAGCTGCCGCTATCGTCGATGCATGGTCATGGATGGCAATAGGCGATGGGTGACAATGAGTGTTGGTTTAGGGTTTCAATGTTAAAGAGATGGATATTTTTGACAAAAAGGATTGTGCATTGAGTAAAATTACAAAATTTAAAATTAGTTGGTGTGTATATTGAGAGAGGATGTGGAGTGAGATATTTTGATATGTGGAAATAGAATTACCCAGCAGTTGGTGTTGTATTTCAAGCTCATCACAAAGATTACGTTTTTATCCTCAATTTGATTTCTTCTTTGCCTTAAAGATTTTTGGATGCAAAAAACGTTTGATGTGTTTCAGAAATTCTAGAAAAAGATTTTGCATGCTCAAATTCCAGAAAAAAGAAAAGAGAAATGGTAGTTTTTTCTGCATACTGATTTCCCCAAATCTAAAAACACAATAAAAATAAAAGTAAAATTTTCTATTCCCTATGAATTGTTCTTTCAACCTTATTACTCATTAATTTTTTTTTTTTAGCAAGCTTCACTTTACCCCCCTTATAGTTTGGATCATGTGCGGTTTACTTCCTTAATATTTAGAAATGACTACATAACCTCTACGTGGTTTATGAACTAAAGTGTACCATTAGGCCTTTTAATGATTTAATGAAAAAGAGTAAAATACCTCTGTATATAAGTAACTTATTGTGTGAACTACGAATATTTTTGTCATTTGTTTGAAAGGAAAAGTGCACTTCAACCTCTTGTGTTGTATTCCATGTGTGATTTACCCTCTTGAAATTTGAAAATGAGCATATAATTCTCTTATGTCTGCAACATGTTTCACAGCTGTTGTTAAGTTTGACGGAATATTTAACAGTACACTTCAATCCAAAAACCATGTTGAGGTTATATGGTCATTTCCAAACTTAGGGGTAGGAATGTAAGAAAAATCAAAAAAGCGACCAAACCAATTGAACTGAACCAAATCATCAATATTTGGTCTATTTTTTAACAAGAATTGGTTTGTGCGATTTTTAAATTTGATTTTTTTCGGTTTTCGATTCGGTATTGATTTAAGCACCTTATGCACCAAACTAAACCGAAACTGACCGTTTCAACATATATTGTATTTATAATATATATATATATAATTTAATAATATAATAATATTCATAAGTATAATAAATGATTAATATCAATTAATTAATCCTATCATCCCCATAACCTAAGTTAGTATACCCTTAGTATATATAATCTTAATTTTAACTCACTATTCTTCAAACCTTAGTACTTATTATTAGGTTTTGTTTGCATTTTTGTTAATCTATAAATTGTAAAATATTTATTAAATGGATGGATAGAATATGTTTGAAATGGTTGACAAATAGCTAATTCAATATTTTTACATAAATGAGTGACTATACTAAAAAATGGCTTAAATTTGAAAGATATTAAACTACACCAAGCCGAACCATTTCAATTGTTGCGAT